TTCTTAAAAATACTATATATATAAATTGTATCATTATATTCTTATGTATTTTTGACGAAAGTATAATGGTCCTTCGTTTTACATATATTATTCGTTTTTTCTTAAAAGTTTATAATTTTTTGCATATCAACTGTCCACTAACGGGGTAAGTAGTTCTTACTCAAACTTTTGTTTTTGGCTCGTTTTTTAAAGATTATTTAACATATTATTGCAGGCGTAAATTATCAAATACAAGTGAAAAGTACGATATAATTAAAAATTTGAATACAAATAGGGATGATTGGAAAATAAAAGTGAGGGTAGCATGTGGGATGTTTCTTTCAACAAAAGTGGAGATTTTACGAATACAGAGGCGGTATTGCTGGATAAAAATGTTAAATATAATATCTTACATTTTTATTATTTTGCACAACCAATTAAAAATAAAACTATAAGTTTAAATATTTATATGTAATCGTTTTTTTTTACATTTGTTATTGTAGAAAAACTATATGCTATCACTTTAGGACTTAGTTCTTTTTGTGTAATGATGTAAAAACCCTTTAATTTACATAAATTGTCGGTTTTAATTCAGCTTCAAATTAATCTCCTTTTCAAATATTTATACTAATTGATAGGTGTTAATTTTATAGTGTTTTTAATATAGTTTTTATTAGATTTTGAGTAAGTTTTTATTACTTTAAATCACTTTTAGTATAATTGTTGATGTATTAATGTTTTGGATTACCCTTTAACAAATTCACTTTTAGTTTTTATTAATATGTGTTCGAAAAAGCTTCCTTAGAATCTTTAATCCGCTTTGATCTAGAGGAAAATTTCAGGAAATTTGGCCACAGGAAACAGAATTTTTATTAACACAAGGCACTTTAAGAGAAAATTTCAGGAATTTGGCACAGAAAAGAACCTTATAACACAAGGCACTTAACTGGTAACACGCCCAGCCCGTGCTAAAAGGCACGGCCGTACTACAAGGGTCCCAAGGCGTGTCAAGCATAACACGCCCAAGGCAACTTTAGGCAGACTTCCAGAGAAAAGCATGCCAAGCCCGTGCTACCTGGCACGCCCGTGCCTCAATGCTTCACCAGCCCGTGCTACCTAGCACGCCCCGTGTTTCATTGGCCAGACTTCCAGAGAAAAGCACGCCCAGCCCGTGCTACCTGGCACGCCCGTGCCTCAAAGCACATCCAGCCCGTGCTAGGAAGCACGCCCGTGCTGCGCAGGCGGAACTAGCGAGAATTTAATGCGCAAATCAAGCTTTTTCTCACATGGGCCAACCTCGGAGAGTTTCCTAAACACACTAAACAAGACCTGGACCTATTCTTGGGGAAAAAGGAGTCCTAATCAAGAAAAAATCAAGAACCTAAACAGTTATGATCTCCTATAAAGGATTTTGCACTAAATAAGGATTCTATTTCCTAAAAGGAGTCAAACTTGCCTTCAAGAACTCTATATAAGAGAAGGACTTCTCATAGCAAAGATATTCTCTTTTTATGCAATTTCTTTACACCATTCTTTCTCTTCTCAAAGATCCAAGCATCAAAAAAAAAAAATTTGGCCAAGATTCAAGGCAAGCCATTCACGATAGTTGTGATAGACATTTTCTATTCTAAAACTTCTTCATCTTGTTTCTTTCTATTATTGCCTGTCTGTAAATATTGATTGAAATGATTCAAGCTATGATTGAGTTTAATTTAATTACTAGGTCTAGCTAAACTCTTTATATCTAGGGGATTCTGATGTAATTTAATTCGATTTCCATTATAATATTAGATTTATTATTTCTGATGTTTTTGTTATAACTTATTATTGTTGCTTAAAGCTTCAGGCAGAAACTTCTTCCCCTGGAATTGAACTTATTTCAATAATTACATTCAGGGAAGAAGGGTATACTTGATATGAAAAAGATATAATTATTAACTTGTGATAATAATTTACTTGAGAATAATAACTTGATGCGGAAGCTATATGGTTTGACTCAAGGGAGGTTTTCATAAGTTAATAAATTATTAAGTTGTGAACTCTCAAAACATCCATAAAACCTAATAATCTGATCTATGTTTAATTTCATTATTAAAGATAGGTAATTAAACTGGATTAGAATAGCTAATAATAAATCGGGAGAGTTTGTTAGTAACTTTAGGGTTGTTTCTCCTACTTGAATAATTAAAGTGGATTAATGAACTAATAGAATAAACTGGATAGAATTAAGTGAAATCAAAATTCCCTAGTAGCTAAGTCCACTGGATTCTTTTCACCTGAATTTTGTGTTTGATCTCTTCTATTTTTATTTTAAATTTTACCTTACAGCGAATCTCTCTTATCGTCGTCTAAATAATAATAGGTTAATATAATTTTGGTAATTGATAAACAATCTCTGTGGATACGATACTCTCTTACCTCGATATTACTTGTTGCGATTTCGTACACTTGCGAAAAACGTTGTCACTAATAGTTCAGTTTTTTTATTTTTTTTTAAAAAAGTCCGGAAATAAAGTTTATTCAACTAAAAAAAAATATTGCAACTTTAAACGTCTTAGATGAAAAATTAATAATAAACAGACGGTTAGTTTTGTAAGAACTTTATATTTGTTATTTTTTAACATTTAAATATTTTTAAATTTAAAATCCGCGTATTGAGGGGAATAAATTATATAAGAATTAATCTTGAATTTAATATTATTTAATAGTTTAAAAGCTTGGTCCTAATACAAATTAATTTTAAAAAAAAGATAATTGAATTGAAATTAAATTTCGACAAATTTATAAAAAATCCATAGTTTTAAAACCAAGTATGTGGGTTTTTCCATGCTTTTTCAAGTACTTGTTTTTTTTTTTTCTTTTTTTCTTTTTTATTTTTTATATGTAAATTTGATTTGCTAAAAATATTTCTAGCAAATGCCATATCTCTTTCTTTCCATTACTTATGTTTATGTACATTAACATTCACAAATAAATATTGAATTTCCAGAAATACAATATTTCTTTTTTTTTCTGTTATTCATTCATAAAGAATTGTAGAGATTTTTTTTTCTTTTTTCTTTATTTCCCATTCTATAAATCTCTACCCAAATTGGGATTAAAAGTTATGTGTTGTTTTATAGATATATTCTAAAAGATAGACAATCAGGGTCGGATCAAGATGAAAGAATTGGGGGTAAAAAAATAAAAATTTGCAGATTTTAATATTGTGATTTATTAATTATTGTGATTTTTTTTATTAATTTTCAGATTTTATATTACTATACCACGATTGATTTGATTTATGATAAATATTCAATTTAATTCTTAAATTTTTCAGTTCAAAATTAATTTTTTCTATCAATTTAGAACCGGTTTGATAAACTTATCTCTGCAATGAAACTAGCACAAATGAATGTCGCGTTTTAGGCGAATTACTTTGTCCGTTTGTAATTTATAACTAGTCGAAGCGCCGACTAATACAAATTTTATGAATTCTTGTAAATTGTTTTTAAAAAAAATTATATAAATTAATTTTATTGAGGGCTATTTTACATTTAGATGCTTATGCTTAGTACTGTAGCTATTCATAGATGCGTATGCTTAGTACATGTACCTATTACATACTCCATAGTTAAAAATTAAATTAATCATAAATTTCAGTATGATCACGACGGCATTATTAGGTTCTTTATGACAAACACTAACTTCTACAATAATTCACTTGATCATTGGTTATTTTTTAGGCATTATTTTTTAAAGGATTTTGCATTTTAGCATTAAATATGGATAAATCAGCCATCCTTTTTATAATTTTCAAAAAATAAATATTTACTCGAATTATATAATAATATTCAGATAAAAAAACTTAATCACATTGGGCTCCATTTTAAACTTAATCACATGGGCTCCATTTTGGTTGAGATGAGGGATTAGACAATTAATATAAAATTTTCTAAATTATCTAATCAAGAGTTTTAAATAATTTTAAGTTTATCCAAACCTAAATTGAAGAATGTCATTCAAAAAATTTAAATTGGAAATGTTGCTTAAATATGCCATTTTATCAACTTTTTGACGTTAAAAATAACACAAACAATTCTTAAAAGCCTATATATATTATGATTTAGTGATGAAATCGAAAATGGCTTAAATGTGTCTCCTAAGTAATGAAAGCATGTATGTCCACTAATTCTATATTCAGTTTGGGATTCCGAGAAATTTTGTTTAACCAAAAGAGCAATCTCTTCAAAATTCATAAAAATTTCTTTAATACTTTCATATTTCATTTGAAAATTTACACCATTAAATTAGTTATATTCAGCAAAATTCTATTAAAATTGTTAAGATTTATAAGGAGATCCAAATACGAAATTTTATTTTCCAAGAATTTTTATTCGAAAAAATTCATTGCAAATGAAATAAATATCAAGCGAAATTGTGTAAAAAATTCATAAAATGCCTTTAATGCGAGCACAAGCAAGCAAGACAATAGAATATAAAAATAAGATATAAACATTTTCAAAGGTCTCATTATCATATATATTTATTAAAAATAAATTTAAAAAAAATTTAAAAGTTTGAAATGTTTAATTATATATATATATAGTTATACACGTATATAAATCCATATAGAAAGATATAATAAATACATATAATAACGGGTAGATATTCTAAATTTAGTTTGTTATAATAGATAATAATAGGCGGATATGGATATAGATTGCCGCCAGAAATGAGAAATCTTAAACGGGAACTGAGGGTTTATTGTTTAAAAGTTGCGCGCAACCCAATCTTCTTCTGATCGCAATCTTAAAGCTATTGGTTGCAGGCGGTTTGTTTTCAGTCAATATCATCAAATCGATCCTTCTTGCCTCCTCTGGTTCCTGATTGTTTTCTGAGAAATTTGATTGAAATTGATTGTATTGGATCCCCCACTCCTGGTTTTCGGAACGCTCCATCAATCTTGATTCTGCTTTTGACATCTCCGCCATTGGCTTCTTCTGATTCTGAGATCTGTGCGATTTCCTCTGGTTATTTTCCTCTGGTTCTTGATTGAGTTTTCTAAGAAATCTGATAATGTTTGAAACCGGAACCCTATTTTCGCTCAATCTCATCTATTCTTCTTCTTGGCATCTTCTCCATGGGCTTCCTCTGATTGTAAGTTTCCTGAGAGATCGATTTGTGCCTCCTCTGGTTCGTGCCTCTGTTCTTGATTGAATTTCCGGATTCCGATCATGTTTGAATCAAGAACTGGGCGAAGTATCATGGATATGGCCAAGGATTCCGCTTTTTGACATCTCTGCCATTGGCTTCTTCTGATTCTGAGATCTGTGCGATTTTCCTCTGGTTCTTGATTGAATTTTCTGAGAAATCTGATCCTGTTTGAATGCGGAACCCTATTTCGCTCAGTCTCATCAAACCGATCCTTCTTCTCGGCACTTTCCCCATAGCCTTCCTCTGATTCTGAGTTTTCTGAGAGATCGATTTGTGCCTCCACTTGGTCGTGCCTCTTCTGGTTCTTGATTGAATTTCTTAATTCCGATCATGTTTGAATCAAGAACTGGGCAAAGTATCATGGATATGACCAAGGTGGCAGCCCAAGGTGGCAGCCGAGAAGGCCAGAGACATGGCAGATGAGTTCTTCAAGCTTCAAAACATAGACATGGCTATAAAGCACCTTACGGCAGCCAAGTATTTCAACCCAGAACTCCCTCACATCGATGATTACTTCACAGCATACAGAGTACACCAGTTAGCGGCAAACAAGAAAAACTGTTGGTATGAAATACTTGCCATCAAAGATTTCAATGTAGACGCTGACACAATAAAGAATCATTACAGAAGAATGGCATTAATGGTTCATCCTGACAAGAACCCCTCTGTTGCTGCTGAGGGCGCGTTCAAGTTAATTAAGTCCGCTTTGGACGTGTTGGGCAACCCGGTGAGAAGAAAGGCATATGATGCTACAATAAGTTCTGAATCAAGGTCTAACCCTTCAAAAACAACATTTGCTACTCCGAATACTGGTTCTCCTTCTACTTCTGGCGCTTCATCATCATCAAGAAAACGTGCATCATCTTCTTGGGGTCATATTCACATTGATCCAGTAAGCCCTAGCCCTTCAAAATCTAATCCGTCGAAGGTAACTGTGGTTCGTTGTAAAAACGGTAAAATGCAAATACGCCGCTTTTATCTGAATGCGGGGGAGGAAGTCCGCATTCACTGAGCCTTATCCTCACAGGTACAAAAGTCTTTCTTGTGAATAGAAACGTAGATTTTTTTTTTTTTTCTTATGAAACGGATTATTAGCCAGAATTGGGAATTTTTAAGCCGGGGATACTAGGTATTTCAGTATCTTAATTTTTTGCTCTCTAATAGAGATTTTAGAGTTAATATCAATCACATCACTGCTGTTTTTGGGTTTCCACTAATGATAGGGTTAAATCAATTCCTAAAAAGACAAGAATGAACAATATGTTAAGCCGGTAATCTTCTAAATTGAATAATTCAAGCGCTTCCATATCTACTTGTTACTTTACTGCATAATCAATTTTTCCATGGGGCATAGTCGATCATGTTTGTTGTTTTTGCCCTTTTTTTTTTTTTTTTGGACTGTTTTCTTTTGCAGGATACTTCTATTGGCACCCTTTTGCTATAAACTTTTGAACTGCACTAATTAAAGTTTTTTGCAGGTCGGCATTTGAATACTTTTGGGGTTGCTAGTTTTTCTGTTTAGCTTATCTGCTCCGAGCTCCAATGTTCTTTCAATAGCGGCCTGAATATCGACTGAGCCTCATCCTCCTCTTCATCCTCTTCCATTGACAGGTACAAATTCTTTCTTGCTAACAGATGTGTGGACGAATGAGCTGCTGTAGTTAAGCATTTTTGCAGGTTTTTTTGTTGCTGGTGGCTTCTGAATATTTTGTTATGCCTGAATTTGAGCCTATATAACTGATGCTGTTGGGGTTGCTAGTTTCCCATTTTGCTATGAGTTCTGTTGCTGATTGCCATTTAGTTTCGTTCTTAATTTTGTGTACAATTGATTCTTTTTGTCGGCTGCTTGCTTAGTCGAGCTTGCTGCATGCTGGTGTATTTTCATATTAGGCTTGTTTTTAAGTTTCTGGTTGTTTCCCTTCACACTTCTCTGTTGCAAGCATTGTTTTCGGTAGGCCCTCTGTGAGTTGGTTGAAAATATTTTACGCTTCATTGTCCACAATTCGGCATTAAATTCATTTGTTTTCTAAATTGAGGACAATGTGCTTCTTAAGGTTTGGGGCAGGGGATTTATTTGTTTGGTTTAGTTGGTCTTTGTTCATATCAGTGAAATTTTTGAATCTTTGTTTTGGCTTCAAAAATTATTTTTCTTATGATTGATACTTTTCCAAAAAATTTCTTTTCAAGATGCAAGATAGTTTAGATATTAAGGATATTTTTGTGCCTAATTTTCAACCTCAGGATGTTACCAAGGTTTTGATTGAGAAAAATTGAGCATATTCTTTAATTTTCATTATCATTGTAGAATGCATTTCTTGCTGAGATTTGAGCAAAGTTTTAGGATGATTTAATTAAGGGATTTAATTCTATGCGGTTTTTATCTTTTAGAGGTTAGTCCTAAACAGGGTTTAAGTAACAGAGCAGTAAAGTATTGTGCTTAAATGTAAAAAAACAGTGTTCTTTAAGTAACAGAAGCGTAAAGTATTGTTGCTTAAATGATAAAATTTACTCCTGTCTATCCTATGTTTTTGGTTATTGAGAGATTTGAGCAAAGTTTTAGGATGATTTAATTAAGGGATTTAATTCTATGCGGTTTTTATCTTTTAGAGGTTAGTCCTAAACAGGGTTTAAGTAACAGAGCAGTAAAGTATTGTGCTTAAATGTAAAATTTACTCCTGTCTACTCCTATGTTTTGAGTTATTGAGTAACTAGGAGCAGGCATGTGCCCCATGTGTGTTTTTACGTCAAAAGGTAGCTTAAGATATGAGTATGTAAAACACTCTAGGTCATGAAAAAGCTGAGTAACCGGGTGCGGGCATCACCAATGTGGGTATTCGCGTCAAAAGGCAAATCAGACTTAGGGAAGAGGGAGTAAATAGCAAAAGGAAAAAAAAAATAAAAAATAAAAAGCTCTTGTTGCTACTTTTGTTTGTAGTAGCCGAAGGAAGATGAATGCCAATTTAGTTTTATGTCTCTTAATCACGTTATTCCTAAAGCTTGCAAAAATCGAAAGTTGGATGTTCATTTGAATTTGAAAAGTGGAAAGGAAAGTTTGTGTTTGATCATCTTAGTTTGAATCTTGTTACGTTTTGAGGCGGAAGAGACCGTGCATTAATTTGCTTATATCCTAAGTTTATCTTGTGTTTTATAGAAGAGGTTTTAGGAAAAGGATCAATAAATCTTACTTGTTTTGTTTTGCTTGAGTACAAACAAAGATTCAAGTTTGGAGGAATTTGGTGTGAGCAAAATTGTAAGTGTTTTCTCTAGTTTTCCATAATGATTGTGATGATGTTTGTCTGAGTTTAGCAGGTTGTTAATGATTCTGTTTGTGGTTTCAGCAAGGTCAAGGATTTTCTTTCTATTGGTTCTGTAGACAAGCTTGCAAGGGTAGCCATCTTACTGTTTGGGAAAACATTTTACTTTCTATTTTGCTTTCTGATGTAACAGACCCAGGTTTTTTCACTTAGCTTATTGGGTCCTAGGTTGGGTGTATGGGGACCTTGGGTTAGTTTGGATCTATTAAGCTAAGTTTTTCCTGGTTTTTTCAATTAATAAAATTACTTTGACATAGTTTTACACGGTTTATGAGTTAGATTTTGCTACTGCTTTTGTTGTATTTATTGTGCGTGCCATCTTTTAAGAAGGTCGATAAATCTGATAAATGATTCTTTTGAAGGATTTCACTGTTAAAAGTAAAAACTTTAAGATTTTGAAAGGTTTAATTATGTATATTCTATTTGAAAATTTAATTTTTAAAGTATATCCAATCAAAATAGAATTAAATATTTAAAAAATCAATTTAAAAAATAAAAAATGAAAATTTTCAAATGTCTCATTATTGTATGTATTTATTAAAAAAATAAATTTTTTAAAAAAATATATAAAATTTTGAAATTCTTAATTATCTTTATGTATTTATTTAAAAGATAATTTTATTCATATATCAAATCAATTAATAAAATATAATTTTCTATCCAATCAACTAAAAAAAAATATTATTTTCTAATTGGCTACGACTAATGTTATTTTAAAATATTTCAAATTTCATTAAAAGTGGTATCAAAAATTCTATTATCCCTTGTATTTTCACATTTTTATATAGTATATATGTGTTTATTTAAAAAATAATTTCTATACATATATCCAATCAACTAATAAAATATAATTTTCTAATTACCTATACTAAGGTTATTTTACAAATTGACGGCCAGTCCATAAAATTTTGTTTTCAAAATTTGTTTCCACTGCGTTACTAATTTTTAATGATATATTTTAAAGTACATCGATTTGTTTGGAACTTGAAAGTATAAATTGAAATATGTCTAGGTTCAATGCATTAAGATGTTTTGAACATTTGTTAAATACCATATCTGTTCTGTAATACTTGTCACATTTGTGGTTTCAAAGAGTAATAAATATTTTTTTCTATGTTTACTTTTTGTACATGACCAATAATTATTATTCAATTTAATAGTTTTCTTAGAGAATTAGTATTAAATTAAGAGCAATATGGACAATTTACTCAATAGTTTATTATAACTTAAACAAATTTAATAGTTTTCTTAAAGTACATGAAATTTCAAATGTGATAAATTTTATGAAATAGAGGCAGTTTGTTACAGTACTACTTATGATAATATCTTTAAGTTCTGGATAGATGTTGATAATTTACATATACATATTACTCCCTCCATTCCTAAATTTTGAGTATTTCACGTCCTTTAAGAAAATCATTCAATTTGTCTAAATTAGAATAAATTATTGAATGAATTGATCATATTATGCTTAATTTACAATATCCAAACACTAAATTTAATTTTTCATTAATTATTATTGACCATATATAAAAGGTAAAAAATGAAAAAAAAATTATTATTTGTTAAATCCACAAATGTAACAAGTATTTAGAACAAAGCACTTTCTCAAATGTGACAAATATTTGAAAACGAAGTGGGTAATAAATAGATGATATCCATCTATCTATGTAAATGTATATAAACAAAAGTAAAATTGCTGAAATGCTCCATTTTAGAATTTTGAAATATTGAGTTGGCTAGGAAAATATAAGTACTTCCTCTAACTTAAAATACAAGTCGTTTAAGGTTTTTGCACAAAAATTAAGGAAAAGATTAATTCTCATAGATTATAACAAAACCATAGGTAATTTGATAAAATTGTCCTTTATATCAAAATCAATAGTTACTTGTGAAATTATTTATCGTATCTAATGTAAAAAAAGGGTAAAATTGGAAAAATATTATTTATTACTCTTTAAAATATTCAAAATGACTTATATTATGGGATAAAATAATCACCAAAAAACGACTTATATTTTAGGATAGAGGAAGTATTTCATGAGGTAGTTGTTAAACTTTGTAATTAAATCGTTCAAGACTCCATTTAATTAAGATAATTATTATACTAATTAAAGTTTCACTTTGTAACATGAGAATTACTAAATTTTACAAATAAATCTTGGCCAAATTCATATATTTTCCCCTAAAGTTTACCCGATTTACCTTATGGCACCCTCAAGTTTGTGAGAGATTTACAACGACCCTACACTTTCATATTTTAATACTAACTAAACTCCTCTCCAAAATGAAATAACTTTGCAAAAGTTCAATCATGACTTTATATTTTTACATTTTATTTTGGCGAGGAACATAGTTATTATTGAAATATGAAACCTAGGGTCATGTCTATGCAATAGGCCAATAAATCTTTGAATACTCATTTTAATTAAGATAATAACATTTTTAGTTTATAACTTGAGAATTCGAAAGATGCCAATTATAGAATAAATTTTAATAATGAAGATTGATGTGAATTTATATTCATGCATCAAAAACGATTAGTTCAAGGATATTTAATATTGATCCTTCCAAAGAAAAAACAAATCTAAGAAAGATGATAATATTGTTGAAGACACTCAAACCGATATACCATCACTGTTAGAATTAAAGCAGATTTACTATGAACTAGTGATACATGTCTCTCTTGTTTCGTCTTTTTGTAGATAATTTTATTGAATCTTGGATCTTATTTAATATTTAACTATTGCAACCCTAAAATATTATGTTATGTTAACTTGTAACCCTAGAACATGGATATGTTCCACTAATAAAAAATTCTAAATCCAGTAGGCTAAACCATTCTGAATAACTCAAACGCTACCCCAAAATGAACTTAATCCTCCAGACACTCCAATTTCAAACTTGTATTATAATTGCACGCCAATTTCAAAATTGGTCAAAATTAGCTAACCCACTGATAAGTGGTTAATTTAGCATAATAAACTCTTTATTTAAATATTATTTGTGGATGTTTTTGTTTTAAAAAGAGAATTTTCACTTGGTTTTCATATTTTTCTTAGATCATACTAAATTCATTGGGCAAGGAACTTTGGAAGCCAATTCTTGAAGTTTTGAAGAAATGCGTTAGGTTGGAGCTGAAGTCTAAGTAATCGCTGAAACTCTCAGGAAGTTGACAATTTACCCTTGGACAAGGCTAAGGGAGGCGCGTCCAGGGTAGATCCGAAACCTCCTGGAAGTTGATAATTTAGCCTTGAACAAGGTTAAAGGAGTTGCATCCAGGGCTGATCAAGATTAAGATGTTTGCCGGCTAGGATTCAAAATCCTAGCAAGTCTTTTTAAGTAACTAGACTGCTAATTAGAAAATTAGGAAGATACTCAGATTCAAAGACTTTATCTTATAATTAAGTTTAGATTTATTTTCCTAGTTTTAGGATTTTTCTCTCTCCTATATAAATAGAACTTTAAGTGAGGGGGATCATCCTGTGTTTTTGGAATAACAGTCGTTCTTTTAGGTTTTTTTTATTTTTTGTGTTTTCTCCATGCCCATTCGTGGCTAAACTTTTCTTTTTGTTCAAAGGTTGAATTCGAAGTAAAAGTTCTTCTATGATTGTGAGATCTTAATTTATTTATTTTCTTCTTTAATTCCATCAGTATTTATCTGTTTTTTTACATATATGAGAAACTTCATCTCCATTGTTATCTTATTGTTTGTGCAATATAACTAGTTGTTTGATTTAATTGGATAACATATAACTAATCAATAAGATTAAATCCGTAATTGTTTAATTGAGTTGATTCGAGTAGCAAATAATATAATCTAATTGTGACCAAGCTTTTGGATTATATTATGAAAATTCATAGTATAACTTAAATAAACCCTGTAGGGTTTCTTAATTAGGGCAGGGTATTTCTAATTCTTATTGCTATTAGCAAATTAAATTATATCGCTTGTTTAGAGTTGTTTGCTAGTTAGGAATTATTTATAGCACTTGTTTTGTTTAATCTAATAACACAGAAAGATTTTTCGATGACGCTTATTCAAAGATTATAACTTATCTACCTTTCGAATTATCGAATCATCTTAGTGTCGATGATCAATCAAGAGAATTTCATACTAAGAATTGC